TGTAACTCAATTTCTATTTGAGTTACATATAGGTTAAATATATACTAACCCAATTAGAAATTAAGTTACACAGGTTACGCCTAATTTATGTTTATACATTTTATACATATTTATATAACTATATTTATACACATTTATATAGAGATTCATACATAATTTAATTTTGATTGCATTAAAGCAAACAAGAGAAAATAAAAATATTAAAAAGCGCTTAATTCGCAAACAAAAATTAGTGAGAAAGGTGCGCTTGTTTCTGTTTGAACAGATGTTCAATATTGGTTTCTAGCTTGGTTAAATACAATCTTAAGTCATCTTCAACATTTAATTTATTTCTGTAGGTATTTATTTTTAAGTTAAACTTGAGAACCCTTTCTCACATGAATACGTGGTGCAAAACCCAACAAGAAATTTAATAGCAGTGTGAGACAATTCTTTGTGCTCCCTTCCAATACAGATCCAAAAATCTAACAATGTAGTACCAGAATATTTCTTTTTCAACGTGGGATCACACGAGATTTCAATAAGCTGCTCCTTTTCAATGGTCGTTATTGTTTAAACACGATTGAGTAACCACGAAATCAACAGGCAACACTGACTACTGCAAAAACACTGCTTTGGCGGTGTTTACTAGGTAGGAAGGATTTTTTTTGACGTTTTTGACGTTTTTTTGACGTTTGACGTTGATACTTGAACTCTGCGCTCCCGTATCCCGCTCACATTATAATCAAAAATAATTCTTCTTTTGGTTTTCGTATTCATTTCATTTCATCAATTCATTTTATTTTGATTTAGTCATCATTGAAATGGAAAACAAAAATTTGAGCTAAAACGAAAGGGATGTAATAAAACATAAGTTGGAGGTTTATGAAAGTTTTACTTTGTTAAGGGACACGTCCACTTTGCGTATACTTTGGATTTTAGATTTTTTTCCTCTATTAGAAATTCATTGGTTTTTTGGCCAGCCGCGTACCCCCTAAAAATTTTCGCGTATCTTCATGGGCTACGCGTAGCCCAGTTTGGGAACCACTGTTCTAAAGCAAATTCAAATCCAAGATAGAGTAGATGTAAACATTGACATGCCCTACGCACGTGATATTGAAAATTCCAAGAATTGGACAGGGTCGTATTCAGAACCAACATCTTGTTGATCGCAAATGCTATATCATACTTAGGAAAACTTTTTTATAATAACGAGTGAAATGCACAAGTTTTGCAGTTTAACGAGGAAAATGCAGATAATATGTGTAATATAAAAAGATTTTCATTGGATTTTTCACAGCGCACTCAAGCATTATATGAAAAGAGACGTATTATTCCTTTATTGATAATTTCCATTTTATGTAAAATAAAAAGGAATATCAATCAAAATTATTCAACTGGATGAATTNTCTGTACTGGACATCTTGGAAAACAATTTTAAACAATATACTATAACGCACGCCACACAAACACGCAAACGACTGATTACAACCCTGTGCTGGTACCGAACTCGTACCAAGAAGGCGAATTCACCAATGAACGCTGCCCTTTCCCTCTGACACTGGGCGATCACGTGAACATCACGCTTCGGTTTTGTTTTGTTTTACTCCATCTTGGATTTGGATGGACTTTGGGGTAAATCAACCACAGCGAATAGAGCTCCTAGGAACTCTATTTTATTTCTCCGAAGAATTTCAATTTAGGCCACAGGAATGAAAATAAAACATATGAACAGTAATGAAAAAGAAAGACTGATTTTCGATTTTAATTCTTTTGAGGTATATGTAGAAGCTAAAAGTTTCCAAATATTCATAAATAACCCCAAAGATATTAAAGACATAAAAAGTTATTTAAATCTAAATAATCTCGGAAAACTGTATTCGGTATAATCGACCGCATAGCAAAATCTATGCCTCTGCTAGTTTTATGTAAAAAATTACAACCGTGATTCATGCGAACTCTTTATAAACATTTTTGAAACATTTGTAACAGTCTTATTTTTTTTGCAGATAATTTTACAATTGTGGCCAAGCATAAGCAGTTTTATTGTGAAACGGTGTAGGGGATCTCTACAAACAAAAATAAGGAGAAAATTTGAATCATTCAGATTTGAAGATATTGACTTTGGAGTTACGGTATGATATTGTGATAATCATTATTCAATCATATTATTATAATGACGTGTTTATAGCCTCCAAAAATTGATGGTGTCAAAGTTTATAATAGGACTATAACAAAGGATTCGATTGTCATAGATTTTGATGTCTTGTGAGTATAGAAAACATTATAGAACATATATTATTATCTTCCATACATTACAGTTATGATGGCGACTGTGATATTAATTTTTCGATATCTGGTACACAAATTGGAAGTATCAGAGATTTTCAAGTAAGTGTATATGATATTCAGTTGAAGATATTGACATTATATTCTAGGGTTGTGAAGCATTTGTCAGAAGCTTCAAAAAGATATGTCAAAAGACCCACCTTTCAATTCAATTTTATCCCCACATGGCGCCCAGTCGCCATCGTGAAAGTGTCATCTGTCAATTTCACTTCAAAATAAACTATTCATGTATCAATTTCATTATCCCAAATTTCAATTTTTTGAGTTTTCAGTTGACCCATTCAAAAAATAAATTGGGTGCATTAAAGAAATGCACTGTGTATACAGCGTGACTCACGGTCGATGGTTTCTGGAAAACGCAAAACATAATTTTTCTGAAAATTTCACCTCTCACATTTCCTTACCTGGTCTATCGATATAAAATATTTTCAGCGTTGCGGCGTTGCCACTTCCTTCAAAAAGTCCTAGCAACTTTATTTTTTTAAATGGAACACCCCGTATAATAATACATTTTTGGAATCGCTCTTGTATTTTAATACTTTTTTGTTGATAATGTCCTATACCTATCTCTATCTGTTTTCGAGATAAAAAATAAATTGTGCTAAATATGGTCCAAAACATAGCCTTAATTGAAATTAAGTACATCAGTACTCTCAATTCATGAAAAGTTGATATTTTGATGATAGTTTGGACAAACTCGAAATA